AACGTGTGGTCCGCTTAACCAGTGGATGTCATAAAACTGCGTTTGTTTATGGTTTGAGTTAGTTTGAGAGCAATGCTTATTACGCCTGGTGCGGATGTAATATCCAACGACTCCTTGCTCCTTCCTAGCTTCCCTCCACTAGTCAGTGAATGATAATAAGTCCGTGTGTAACTATGTATATTCATGTATGAATATATATAGCAGCCGTACAAACGGGCTTTGTAAGGTTGGACGTGTATCTCAAAGTTTAAATTGTACAAATAACGGACGAGTATTTGTGGAAATCCCACTACTGCTGTCGATGTGCCTTTCTACCTCGCGGCTTCTCACTCCCAAGCTACACACGGACGCAAAATCGTCAACCAAGTGGCGCCCGAACATCTTTTTTTCCTGGACTTTCATCGACGACAGATGAAGGTATGACGAAAGGTTGTCGACTTTCATCGAGTTTTTCATCCCTTTTGGACTCAACCACGTTGCCAGGCAGCGAACATAAAAAGGTTGGACGAGCAAGCGCTGCAGTGCTTGCATCACAAGGCCTGCGAGGGAGACACTACTCTTCAATCTGAAACCTGTCCAACTTCTGGACACGCTGGAAACCGACGGCCCGCGGAGTTTCTTCAAGGGGCTTCTGCGGATGTTTCGGCCGAAAACGACTGCGGACTGTGGCTCGTGGCACTACATAAACTGTGCGGTGACGCTCTCTGGTTCTTCTAAAGGGACTCTCTCTCCGCTCCTCCCTCATCGGCGCGTGTGGCGCCTGCTGCCTCTTTTGCCGCGGAATTTCCGGCTTGGGCGCAGACTGTCTTATGCCTGGAGCAACGGTCAAAATGCGCGGACTGTGCAGATTTAATGACTTTATAAGGAAATATAAAAATAATATATTAAAAAAAAAAAAAGAAAAAAAAAAAAAAAAAGCAAAACTAAACTGTACTAACTACTCACGACTCACATGGTTAGCTAACAAAAAGATATACTAATCATACGGACTGTTAGTGGTATAAAGGGTGTTTGCTGAATGCCACTTTTTGGGCTTTATTCATTCACCTACATTTTTGAGTAAAGTATTTGGTTGCAAAAGGGAAGTAATTGACGCTAAGGCTATTTTTCGTTTTATTTCCTCACATTTTTGACTCTAGTGGTGTTTTGAATGAGTTTTCTCCCTTTGCATAAGATTATTTTTTAAATGAGTATTGCTTATCAGCCTCATCACATTATACTACTGTCTAGGTGTCTTGTGACACAAGTTGCAGTTATTGATATCTGAAATGCACTTTTAAATTAGTTTACATTTGAATTTTACAACTTAAAGTGTTTATAATGGCAACTCATCCTGACCTATCAGGAGGCCTTGATATGAACACTGATCTTGAACCCACATGGACACCAGACTTGGCCCTGGCTCTTCTAGTCACTACAGCCTGCAGGCCCAGACGAAACCCAGAGTCCACCTCAGATGGTCCAGACACCAAATGACCAATCCTTATCATACTGCAAATTTGACTTTGAGTAAATTCAGGTTTTGTGTTCATGTGGACTTAGGACAATTGTTAAGTGTTAATGCCGCCCTCATGTGGGTAGAAGTTTTGCAGCGTTCTACTCAATCGTAAGCAGCTGTTTCAATATTAATGAGACATTAATGGGTTAGTGTTGTTTTTGCTGTGTTATTTAACAGAAATTTAAATAAGGGAACTTCATATTGTGCTTGTTCTTAAAACCTCCTTAGTTTTGATTTAGTTTCTTTTTAGCACTATGGCCTTTCATATCTTACTTGGTACTGAACATGTATGCCAGTTATTCTAAAATAATTCCCTGTATGCTCACCTCTGGGTCCTGACAACTTAGTGCATATCCATGTATGACAAGTATGTACTTAGTACAGACTGTATCTCAGTGCGTACGGCTGGGGACCAGCCTTTTGTCTTACCAGGGGGAATAATGTAACAGTTGAATATATGAAATGTCCTTTAACGTGTGTCGCTTAACCCAGTGATGTCCATAAAACTGCGTTTGTTTATGGTTTGAGTTAGTTGAGAGCATGCTACTAACGCTGGTCGATGTGATATCCACGAACTCCTTGCTCCTTCCTACTTCCCTCATCTCAGTGATGAATAATAAGTAGTGTGGTAACTAATGTATTTCATGTTCAATGAATATATATAGCAGCCGGTAACAACGCGGCTTTGGTAAAGGTTGGAGTGTTTTAAGTTTATGTAACAAATAAAACGACAGTATTGTGAAATATCCCACAGCTCTGTCGATGTGCCTTTCTACCCGCCCTTCTCACTCCAAGCTACACACGGACCCAAAACGTCACCAGTGTTCTGATGAAAAACCTTTAGTGAGTGATCCACTGTCAACTTGACTTTAAAGAGCTGTCAGACCTTCTTCCTGCCCACGAGATCAACCCAAGCAGCTCCACTGTGATCAGACTGTGGGTGGGGAGAGGACAGATTGATCTGAATGCCTCAAGTTTTTCATTTCATTTGCAATATCACTGCTAAACATGGATCACTGTATGAAACAGGTGAAATATATGAACATACTGTAGAGAACAAACACAACAAGAAGGACTTGGTTTTTACAAGCTCTTGCACACTGTTCTTCAGTAACCGTCTGTTGAAGCTGCCACCCCTCAACCTGGATACTCTGAGACGAAGCAAGGCAATACCATTTCATACTGGTCGTCAATCGTGAAGAGACACCGTTGATGCTGAGAAAAAACATTTAAAGAGATTCACCTTTAAAACCAAAAACAACAGCCTTCTTACAGAGAGAGGAGGGAAAACAGGACGACAGCAACTTCAACCCTGCAGCGGACTCCACACACAGACCAACCGTGGGAGTTTTTATAAGAAGACAAGACACTGAAAGATGAAAAAAAGTGTGGAGGGAAACCACACCTGACTGACCTCTTGTGCTGCTTTGTGTCTTCAAGCTTCATCAGAGACGGACATGTTCTTCTCGGTCAGAGGAGGAGCTCACCTGTCCTGTCTGACAGACATCTTTAAAGAGCCTGTTTGTCCTGTCCTGCAGCCAACAGCTTCTGTAGAGACTGTCTGCAGGCGCTGGTGGAGAGAGAAGGTAAACACAACAGTGTCCAGTGTGTAGGAGATCATCAAGGATAACCCACCATTTTCTTTGTCCGCTGAAGAACCTGTGTTGAGGACTTGCTTACTTGCAGAGACATCAGAGACCTTCAGCAGAGGTCTGAGGCCTCTCTGCAGTCTGCAACTCTGAGAAAGCTCAGACTCTTCTGTCTGGACCACCAGCAGCAGTGTGGTCTCGTCTGTCGAGACTCAAAGACACACACACTTCACCAACCACAGCTTCAGCACCCGTTGATTGAAAGCTGCAGGAGGATCACAGAGAGGAGCTGCCAGAAAGCCCCTGAAGCCTTTTACAAGAGAAACTGAAAGCTGTTTGAACGAGTTAAAAGGAGACTGTGAACAAACAGCAAAACATCAAGGTCGCAGGCCCGACACACTGAGAGCCAGAATCAAGGAGCACTTTAAGAAGCTTCCACCAGTTTCTACAGGAGGAAGAGGAGGCCAGGATCACTGCTCTGAGGGAGGAAGAGGAGCTGAAGAGTCACATGAATGAAGGAGAAGAATGGAGGCTCTGAGCAGAGAGATAGCAGCTCTGTCACACACAGTCAGAGCCACAGAGGACGAGCTGAGATGCCTGAAGACCTCTCATTCCTGAAGAACTACAAGGCTGCAAGTGGACAGAGTCAGAGCGCCCCTGCTGGAAGGATCCACTAGCCGCCCTCAGGAAGCTTCTATAGACTCAGGCCAAACACCTGGGCAACCTGACCTTCAACATCTGGAACAAAGATTGAAGGACCTGGTCTCCTACAGTCCCCTGTGGTTCTGGACCGCAAACTCTGCTCAGCCAGTATTATACCTGGTCTGAAAGATTGACCAGAGTGAGATTTGGAGAGAGACATGAAGCTTCCTTGACAATCCAGAGAGCGTTTTGACGACTCCTATGCCTTAGTCCTGGGCATTCTGAGGGTTTTGGACTCAGGGAGACTCACAGCTGGGACGTCCAGGGTTGGGGAGACCAGTCCAATTCGGTCTGTGGGGTGGTGACTGCAGTGAGTCCTGTTTGAGAGGAAGGGGAATAGAAAAAGAGCTGGAGGCTAAAGTTATGGACATTGCAAGATAGTGTTATATGAAGGTGAATACAGAGCACAGTCTCCATCAGATCTCATCCACTCTTCTCTCAGTGAGAAGCTCCAGAGGATCAGAGTGAATGCTGGACTGGACAGAGGAAAACTGTGCGTTCTGTTGATCCCTGAATACTGACAATCACAGACATATAAACACACCCTTCACACACACTTTCACTGAGTAGGATGTTTCCAATACTTTAACACAAAAAAGATTTTCCTCTGAAGATATTACCAGGTGAAGATCAAGAGTCAACTACAGAACAAAGATGAAAGAACATGATGGTTTAAGATCTTTAATACTTTAAAATATCTTTGTGGGTGGAGGAGGTGGAGGGAGGAGGAGGAAGGTGGAGGGAGGTGGAGGGGGTGGGGGGTGAGGGAGGAGGAGGGAGGTTGGAGGGGGTGGGGGTGGAGGGGGTTGGAGGGAGGAGGGGGGAGGTGGAGGGGGGTGGAGGAGGTGGAAAGGGAGGTGGAGGGAGGTGGAGGGAGGTGGAAGGGGGTGGAAAGGGGGGAGTGGATAGGGGGGTTGGAAGGAGGACAGGAGGGGGGTGGGGGGAGGTGGA